GTGAAATGACAACCACAGAATGAAAGAAAATATCTGCAAACCATATATCAGATAAGGGGCTAGTATCTAGAATATATAAATAACACTTAGAATTCAACAATAAATAGAAAAATATCTCAGTTAAAAATGGGCAAAGGATCTGAATAGATATTCCTCCAAATTGCCAGTCATACACGAAACATTTCAACATCATCAGTCATTACGGAAATGTAGATCAAAACCACAATGCCACTTCTTACCCAGCAGGATGTCTGTAACAAAAAGGAGAGACAATGACAAGAGCTGGGAAGGACGAGAGACACTGGAACCCTTATATGCCTCTGGTGGGAATGTAAAATGATGCAGGCACTTTGGAAAACAGTTTGGCAGTGCCTCAAAAAATTAAATATGAAGTTACCATATGATCCAGCAATTTCACTCCTAAGTATATACTGAAGAGAAGTGAAAACATATGTTTATACACAAATGCTCACTGCAACATTATTTATAGTAGCCAAAAAAGTGGAAACAGTCCGAGAGTCTACCAACTGATGAATGGATAAACAAAACACGGTGTATCCCTATAATGGGATATTCAGCCATAAGAAGAAATAAAGTACTATTATATACTACTGCATAGATGAACCTAAAAAGAAGTCAAAGGGAAAGAAGCCAGATACTAAAGAATACACACTGCAAAATTCCAGTTATGTGAAAGGTCCAGAACAGACAAATCCATAAAGACTGAGAAAGGACATTAGTGGTTGTCAGGGGCTGGAGGAGGGGAGAATAGGCAGTAATGAAATGTTCTGGAATTAGATAGTGATGACGGTTGTATAACCTTGTGAATCTATTAGAAACCACTGAATTATACACTTTTAAAGGGTGAATTTTATAGTATCTGAACTATATTTCGATTAAAAATATTTAAGTTTAACTCTATAAAAAAAACGGACAAATCAAAGCATATTCATTTATTCAACAAATAATTAGACCCTAGGCTCTGTGCTCAATGTTGAGGATATAAGGATGAACAAACCAGACACGGTTCCTGCCCTCACAGAGGTGGCATTCTAGTGACTGCGACAGGAAGAAATCCACAGAGAAGAACTACAGAGTCACAACTGAAGAGCGCTGCAGAGGCAACAAACAGGGTACTGAGATAGAGAGGGTAAATACTAGGATGGATGACCCTCCTTCTTGGCAGATTAAGAGATGGTTAGAAAAGACCTCTCCTTAGGAGATAACATTTAATCTGAGGCCTGAACCTAAAGAATAAGAAAGCAAGAGCAAAATAATTCCCAACAGGAAAGAAGGAAAAGCATAATAAGAAAGAAACTGGGGTGCCTGAGAGGACCCAAAAGCAGGTCAAAAGAAGGTTAGAGGGGTAGACAAAGGCCTTCACACACAGGGAGGCCACATTAAGGAGTCTGAATTTAATTCGAAGTTCAATGAAAAGTATTGAAGAGTTTTAAGGAGGTGTCTGAGGAGGGAAAAATGTAAAATTCATTTACTGTTACTAAATAATTTATAATAGCATTCCCAGGACATTAGGTATATGGGTAAAGGAGAAGAAAAAGAATTTCAAGAAAGTCAAGTAAGTTTGGAAAATGTAAGTACAAACAGGGTTAAGCTGATCTGCTTAAAGGTACAATAGTAGTTCTTGGGGGGGGGGGGGACACAAACTTCCCAAGAATCATCTGGAAATGTCTGGAGGCATTTTTGTTGTCAAACTGGGAGGGTGTTACTGGAGTCTAATCGATAGAGACCAGGATTACTGCTCAACATCCCACAACGCCTAGGACCTCCTCCTCCTCTCTCGCCCAAAAGGTCAACAGGGCCAAAGTTGAGAAACTGCTTTAAGACAAAAGAAGCTGTACCACGCTGATATACTATGAAAAAGAGACACAGTTTTTCCCAAAGTTATTTACAAGACTACAATCCCTCTTGGCTGGGTAGAGGGTTGGCAGGAAGAAGCTGGGGAAAAAGGTGAAGAGTATCTATGAAGATTTCCAGGAACATTATTCTGTGAAACTAGTTTGAGAGGTGAACTTTAATATCACCACCACCTCTTTTGCATTTTTATTATATTCCATGTAGTTTCCACGACTTCTTAGCTTCTCAAAAACTACTCATAAAAGAGAGTTGATAAAAATTAACATGTGACTAGCTTCCATAAAATATAGAAAGGATATTTAGCATTATTGATTATATGGCTTTAGAAAACAGAGGGTTCTTTTTTAAAAGTGTGATTTACAAATTAGTAATAAATAACTTGAAATTCTCTTTTCTCCCCAGGACTTTCATATTTTTTAAGTTATGACAAAAGATTTGAACACTTTTTTTAAAAAGCGATTTTATTTATTTATTTTTAGAAAGAGGGGAAGGGAGGGAGAAAGAGAGGGAGAGACGCATCAATGTGTGGTTGCCTCTAGTACGCCCTGCACTGGGGACCTGGCCTGCAACCCAAGCATGTGCCCTGACTGGGAACTGAACTGGTGGCCCTTCGGTTCGCAGGCTGGCACTCAATCTACTGAGCCACACCAGCCAGGGCTGAACACTTTTAAATAGTTATAAATAATGTAATTTCTGGTGCATTGTAATTATCTGCATTTTAAAATAACATGACATTGCCCTGGCAGGGTGGCTCAACTGGTTGGAGAGCTGTCCCCAAAAAGGTTACTGGTTCGATTCCCGGTCAGGGTACATATCTAGGTTGTGGGTTTGATCTCTGGTCTGGACACGTACGGGAGGCAACCAATTGATGTTTCTCTCTCACATCAATGTTTCTCTCTCTCTCTCTCTCTCTTCCTCTCTCTCTCAAATCAATAAACTATCCTCAGGTGAAAATTAAAAAACAGTGACACTGTTTTAAGTGTAGCTAATGGAAACTTAAATGTCATAGTAATATGATAACCACCACCATTATCAAGTATATAAAAATAAGTTCTTTAACAGTTGGAAAGTTTATACTATTTCATTTTCTTCTTCAATTTGTATTCACATTCTACTAACACTACAAAATTTACCCTAATATATTTTTAGGTTTGAAAGTTATTTACTGATGATCCTATCATACTTCCTAGCCATTAAATGTACATAAATTAAAATTTAAGTACAAAAATTTTCCTAAATATAAGCTCTAAATATTAAAGTTTCTTTTACATTGGGCTATCCATTACAATTATCAGAACACACTATGTCAGCATAACATAAATGTATAATAAACTTTGGTAAGTATTACACATCACAATTAAAATTTTGTTAGGAATTTGAAAATAAATATCATATTTAAATGGATAGTTTTTCTCCCAACTAGTTCATATACCCAGTGATAAATATTACATTATTGCTAGAATAATACATAGTACATTATTACTTGAATGATGAATATTACATCATTTGCTAGAATATCATGAATGTTTAGAATGAGACCATTCACTAGCACAGCTATTCCTATTTTTCATCTCATAGCTGTTAAGTGCTGAGAAAACTTGTTCACATAAATGAGTAAGCAGATCAGAATGAAAGTGTGTTGTAGCAACATCAATTCTCCAAGTGTTTTCCAAAAACTGCATACGGATTTATTGTTCAAACTTAGTTTTAATAATATACAAACTGACAATGAGGTTCTCCTTCAGTTTCATTGGAAACAAAGAATTGAAAATACAGTAATTCGGCTATAAAAGATGTTATCCTGTTCATCACTTACTTTCTCAACAGATGCTCCTTGATTTATGATGGGGTTACATCCTAATAAACTTTCATATGTTGAAAATACATTAAATACATTTAACATACCTAACCTATCAAACATCATAGCTTAGCCTAGTCTATCTTACACATGCTCAGAACACTTCCAGTAGCTTCCTACATCAGGCAAAGTCACCTCTCCTCCTACCACTGCCGACATTACAACACAGCACTGTACCACATACTGCTTGCCTGGGGAAGATCAAAATTCAAAGTACTGTGTCCACTGAGTAGGTATCACTTTTGTACCAACATAAAGTCGAACTGTCATAAGTTGGGGACTGTCTATATTCTTTTGTTGGAGGGCCCAAGAGGCATGCATCATAACAAAATTCAGACTTAGTAAAAGACAAGATTTTATTTTATAAAATCAGGAAAGGCCATTCGAAAGAGGATCCCATGATTGCTGGCAATTACTCAGGCAAATCAATTTCAGAAGTTATTATATATGAAAACTCTAGAAATAAATTCTCTGAAAGGACAATTAAAAGGGACTCTTTTTTCGGCACTGTTCTTCATTTAACCAACATGACAAAATACTAAGTTGTATATAGACAACTATATCTTCTAGAGAATTACCTATTTTTTATTGAAGGTCTTTTATTTGCTAATTCTATTAGCCTAATTAATTATGTCATATAACTGGAAAGTAGAATGCATTATTTAAAGCTACTTTGTTAATCAAATTTATCTAGTTAAACCTACCTTCAGCTGAATTATTACTAATCATAGTTTTTTTCACTTCTGCAAAACAACAGAAGACTGAAGTTAAGACTAGAGTTACTATCAACCAAATACAAAATATTTGATGATTACCCAAAATGAACTGAATTTTTAGTCTTTCTTTTTTTAACAAAGATGAGCACAAGAATGAACCATATGTAGTATAAGGGCTCTGGTTATTTCAGAAATAAAACTTTCAAACAACTACAGCTATGTAACTGTTTCTTTCTGAAGTGGCAGGCATGTAACCAAAGACAGAATGCATTTATAATAAACATAACATCAATATTCCAGCCAAGTATAAATCAAAGCATATTCCACTCTACGTTAATTCTTAAAGATATACAAACTACATCTTTGTTGAGAATTTCCCCCAATATTCCCAAATTTTATTCTAATTTCATTGCAACATACCAACTAAAAGAAAATTTCTTAGCTTAAATTCCCTCAAAGCCATGGTTTTTATATGCCTTCCTCCCCCTTTATATTTGGGAACCATTCGAATTAGACTAGAAGAGTAGCCACTGGTATGGAGACTCTTCCAGCCCCTCTGAAAAGCACTCACTGGGCCTTTCGCTAACGACCCACGGAGCCGGCTGGAAAGGGCAAAGTGAAAACCCGGCTTCGGGTGAAGTGGCAGCACATCGTGTTGCTTCACTTCAGTTGATGGTGTGACAAGGGGGGAAAAGAGACTCTTCCAATGACTGGCTGAAAATCTACATACATCCCTGAATCATACTGAATAAGACGACAGAAGAATGGAAAAGTATATAAAACAATGGAATTTATAAACAGCTACTAAAATGCAAATTTTGCAAAACCTAAGTGATATATATATATATTTAAATAAAAGATTTGGACAGGTGGTAGTTCCATTTCTTTGAGGAAAAAAGACCATATTCAATTCAATTAAAAAACCTTAACTAATTTCTGATCCAAAAATCAAAGTTGGGCTCTTAATTACTTATAGACAAATTTACCATCTAAGCAACTAAAGCATACTTTATAGCTGTATCTTTCTTAAAACAAAACATGAATTGTGGGTCCCAGTCCAAGACAGTAACATAGGAGGCTGCTAAATTCATCTTCTCCCCTCCCACACACTGAATCTAGAGCTACTCACAGAAGTTTATTGACTCTTGAAAGAAACCCAGAAGCTAGTTGAGTGACTCTTTCACAATGGCTGAGTGGGAAAATGCCCACATCACCCACAATGAAATGGTAAGGAAAGGCTAACAACTCGCTCTCACTATAAACACCACGCCCAGCAAAGCACCAGACAACTGAGGGAACTCCCAACTTCTCCCAGGAGAGAAGGGGTCATACTCCCCATCTAAGGACGAAATAGTGAGCAATACAATAATGGCAGGGGACTTCAATAATCCAGCTTCGACAATGCTCAGATCATCCAGACAATATATTGTACGTAGGGAAACACTGGACTTAAACTGTAAGTTAGACCTGATGGACCTAACACACGTTTACAGAACATTCCATCCAACAGCAGCAGAACACATATTCTTCTCAAGCACACATAGGACATTCATCAGGAAAGACCACATGTTGGGTCACAAAACAAGTCTTAATAAATTTAATAAGGCCGAACTCATGTCAAGCTTCTTTTCCAACCACAACTGTACAAAACTATAAACTTCTTCTCAACATGTACGGCTACTCTGAACTACATTCAGTTCCCTGAACCAGCCATACTTTCTCACTTCTTACTTTTAGAAAGCTCTTCCAAATGAATGTGTTCTCCCTAGGTACCCCAAACCATCTCTTCCCCCAGCCCCAACATTTATATTAACATTACCTTCCTTGTTCTCTGACACCCTCTTAAATAACTCTTCTCGGAGACCAGAACAAACAACCCTGAGCATACTTAATACATTAAAATATTGACTTTAAATAATCTACATCTCTTGGGACAAGGAATATCAGGTAAATTTCAGGCACAAAATAGGAGACATGGTACTAGGAAATGGCCTTGGGGAGCTAGAAAAGGAGAAAAGCTACAATGAACCTAAAGTGTTGCAGTAGAATCAGAGATATCATTAGCATGAACTACTGGTTGTTAATATAAACATATACTCCTATGTGTAAACATACAGACACAGAAATATACATATGTGTATATGCAAGGATTAATACACACACACACACACACACACACACACACACACACACTCCTACTGGTCTATTTGCTATCGGAGTGTAGGAGCGACGATACTGTAACAGTAAGTACTCCTAGCACTCAGATCTTAATTCTAAATATCATTCTCCAATAAAAGGAGTGAGAATTCTTAGGAGAAGAGACTGATTCTAGAGCTGGAGCAGGGAAAATACAAGAGGAGCCTGGAGTATCTTATAACACTAGAAAAGAAATTCTCACAAAAGAATGGGGCACGTCAAAATGAGCTGGCCTGAAGACGCTCCGAATAGCCAAAGCAGTAAAACAAAGGATAGTAATGTATTATAATCCACAGAATAAAACAAATATCCACAGGTCCATGCTGATATGAATGAATAATTGAAGAAGTAAATGAATGTGGGAGAAAGAACAGTTCTCCCTTACAGAAAAATTCTAATTAATAAATTTCGAAGTAATGAGAGAAAAACAAAAATCATTAGGCACCACAGTATTAAATTACTGTAGGCAAGATCTACCAAAAGATCCAAAATCAGTGGGCAAAAGTTTAAGGAGTAGGAAGATATTTACCAGTAAAAGGGGAAAACAATAACTTTACAGTGCAGAAATGGGGTGGACACCACTTTAAGCAAGTAATCAAGAGTAACATTACCAATGAAATAAAACCTATCAACATCACGGGCACCCTGAAATGATGCAATGTGAAGGATATTACGCTTGATAGTCCTGACAGAAAGGCATAATGTGAATCTGTTAATTTTTTTTAATCACAAAAATAAACTTAAGGGATACTGTACAAAATGACTCATCCATCAAAGTATAGTCATCGAAGTGTCAAAGTCATGACTAAGGAGCTCTCATAGATTGCAGGAGGCTAAACAAACAACTCACTGCAATGTGGGATCCAGAATTGGGTCCTTGTACAGAAAAGGACCTGAGGAGAAAATCTGATAAAATTCTAACATGGACAGTGTTTTAGTCAATAGTGTTTTTATCAACATGTTAACTCCCTGGCTTTGATAGCTGCACTATGGTTAAATAAACTATGAACATTATGGAAAACTGGATGAAGAATATACATGAACTCTCTATACCGTTCTTGCTAATTTTCTGTAAGTTTAAAATTATTTCAAAATAAAAAAGACTAATTCAAGATGTCCTGGGTTTGAAGGTAAACAAATAAAAAATTAAAAAATAATTCGAACCCAGTTGAGAGAATGATTCAATTGTTATATACAACAACAAATTGTTATATACAATTGAATGTATATGCTACTTAGTTTGTAAGAGGTCTAAACAACAAGTCTTAAATATAAATGTTAAATATTCAACAGCAAGCATTTTTCAAATGTCCACTACATCCCAGGCACTGTGCTGCTGACCAGAGAAAGACAGTGACCAAGAAGGCTAAATCAGTCTCTGCCCTTGGACAGAAATCAGATACTAAACAGGTAAACAGAAGAGCAACGCACGTTAATTAGAAGGAAAGCGCAGGAAGCTAGGGAAGCGTGGCAATAGCATTAATGGAGTTCAAAGTGGCCAGAAAGTCTTCCTGAGGAAATGACTTTTCAGTTGAGATATAAAGAAGCAAGTGAGGGATGTGGGGTTGGAAGAAGGAACAAAATGCCAGAGTTGAGAGCACGGTCAACTGGAGAAAAATACCCAGTACTCCTGAACCATACCAAGTGCAAGTAACTAAAGGTGAGGCTGAACAGAGGCAGGAGGCAGATGGAGGCCGGATGTTAATACTTGTAAAAGTAGTAGCAAGGGAGTAATGTGGTCTGATGCGAGTTTTAAAACACTATTTTACGTTGAGGATGAAGAGACTGAGACTTTCTGAAAACAGCACATTAGACCTGTTGAGGAAACTTCACAGAACACCTAAAAATACTGGGTAAAACTTAAAAACCATCTTTTTAAAGGCACAGCTGAACAAAAGTAAGAGATATTTTCACAGGCTAAAAACCTAAGAGCAAACACTAATCCCAGAAGCAGAGCACTGAAGCAAAAGGCTACCTATCCCAAGGACGTCTGCAGAGATATGCTAGCTAAGGAAATAATAAACTATCAAAATTAAATAGTATTGACATACAAACCCAGTCATAAGCTCAAAACCAAAACAATTACTTAAAAGAAAGAATTCTCAATTTAAAAACCAACAGAGAAAGATGTCCTTCACCACAGACGATCTGACAGGCATATCCTGAAAGTCCATGGGCCCTACTGCTTGGAGCACCAAAGCTGACCTGGTGCTTTTTCTTTCCAGTTGATACAGCCATTCTGTTCTTTCTGTTCTATGTACTACCATAACAGCATTCAATAAATCCTCATTTTACTCAGTCATTCTGCTCTAATTGCCTGCAATGAAAGAACTTCACTGATACTCATTTCTACACTTATATACACAGAAGTAATTTCTACCTACATTTAGGGTACCTGTCCCCAGGTGAATCATAATAGTGCATGTTCAGAGGAGTTAAACCAGAGTAAGATGATCATGTCCTTTTAGGCAACTTCATTATAAAATTTAGAACTTGAAACAAATGACTGAACTCCTTAGTATAAATGCAGTTCTCTGCAGGTGACTTAGTTATTATAAACTCAATTCTTCTAAAGATCTTCTATCTCTCTCGTGTCTTATGCCAAAGTCACCACACTTTGTACAGCCTTGGCTCCCCTATTTCTCAGAGGCCTGGTGTTGGCATGTCCTTATGACTCAGTACATGCTAGGAGAGCTCATAATTATTTTAATAAAGACTATGCTTAATTTGAGAGTAAGAACTATTTAATTCCACCTTTGCTTTGACACCTCGAGAACTCGCTCCTTTGCCCAACAGGAGGACATGCTGTGTGTGCAGGGCTGCAGTTCCACACACTCCGTGTTTCACTCTGAACATGCACTGGTACCTCGATGACCCCTTTGAAAATTAGATCTTTAACATTAAAAAAAGCAAAGTAATGAATGCACACATTAAAATATAAATTAATACACTACTTCTAGGAAGCAACAGGGTGGGAATTCTTCTTTAGAGAAGGACAAACACTGTTCAAAATGAGTTTCCCAAGAATAAAGACATAAAAAATCAGAGATGCCCCTATATACGGAGTTCCTTCTGAAACTAAAGGTAAATGTTATAGATCCCAGGAGACATCTCTGTTTTCCTTAAGATACTTGAAGTAACAAGACCAGCTGCCTCAGAAGGCTCGTCTCTGAAGCAGAGAGAACGGACTACAGCGGCACCCTTCCCTGTCCCAGGGGGCCTGGAACAAATTAGTCCGAGCAGACTGCAGCTGACTGAGCTTACTAAACGCTGGCCGGTGGAAAGCATTTTTTTTTTCCTTGAACCAACTTAAATCCTTAGTCATAGTGAGTTTTTATTCACATAAATGGAAGTAAAGTTATTTCATCTGGGCAAGACCCTGAGACTCATTATAAACAATAATAGCTTAGAGTCTTAAGAATCTGATAAATGGCTCTAAGTCACTAAAGGAAGGAATCTGAAATGTCTGCAGCTGGAATACACTCAGTGG